TATTTTTTTCCACATTAAATAATCTACATGTTTTTCACGTCTTGTGAATAAACTATGAATATATTAAGGTTTTATGTCCTTGCTGGAATGAAAGCCAGCCTTCCTCTGACATGGATCATAGAGGATATTTGTACAAATGGCCGCTCGTTTCTTTGTCATTTCCTGTCAAAACATAATTTTCTCACATTTCCGCATCACTGCTTTGTTCTCTGAATTCGGGCCCACATGCTTTAAATACTGTAAATCATGAATCATGCATATTGTGCTTTCAACTGGCCTATCCTTTCCATTTCCTCCTCGTGCTCTCCAACCATCAACGCCACTATCCAACTCTGCTGCCAACACAATCATCTAAACCCTGGCAGGTCTGATTTGATTTCCTATCTTCATCTGGGACCAGAACGCGACGCTGTGACTCATCAGAGTTTTGCCACAGATGTATTATTCCCTTTATTTCACCAAATGTTTGCGTCCACTGATGTCTCATTTATTGAAATGCGGCTAATTTATGTAAACAGAAAATAGCATGAGCGTGAGGACGAGAATATCCAACATGAAATTTAACATCTGAAAGAGAGGAAGTCACCCTGACTCTGCAGACAGATTGACTCTTTTTGCTGACTCTCCTCCTTTACGCCATCACTCAGCTGATAGTAACGCCACGAGGAGCCACCTGCTCCCTTTTCCATTCTCTTAACTTTGCATTACAACCGATAGGCTCAAGTTGCGTTGTCTACTTTATTCCAACATGACCGTTCTGTTTAGCTCACACTGATTCAAATGAAATAATGTTCAAGTCCTATCAGCCAATCAGAATGCAGCAACATTTAGGCAGCCACTGAGCATCAGAAAGGAGATTTATGTAGCTTTGAATGAACAGAGAGTGTCTGTTACAAGCCAATTTACCGGGCTAGCTCCACTCTTCTAGATGTTATTAATTTCTCAGGGTTTGGCTTGTAGTCGGTGTAGTGAGCGTGGCATCTAGTTACCAACAAACACCCTTACTTTGTAGAGAGTTGATTAGCAATCACCACATTACCCAGGGCTTCTGATTCTGACCAAAATTAGTTCAAGCAGACACAAAGGAGGCGCAAACACACCCACACACACGTCCAGTCCATGAAGCTTATGTACACTTCAGGTTAAGACCCTTGCCAGCTGTTCCTTTTACGCTGAGGAGACAACTGACTTCACCTGTAGCCTAGGATGGAGGAAACAAATTATATCAATACCTTGGGATGGCATTTAAAACCAGCATCTCACCTTTGCTCGGTTACCGACAGGAGGAGACCCCACTCGTAAATCCTTTTTTTGTTCCACGAATCCAAGGAACTAGGTTTTAATCCACACAGATAAAAAAAGAATAATAATCCAAACAAAACTCCAACAAAGCGGGTTAAAAAGTGAAACAACTCTTTGCCAATAAACTGAGTTATGGCAAAGTTGAGCTGAATAAGCTCTCCAAAAATGACACTAGGTCAGATTATCACAGACAAAAAGCTCAAAGCAAAAGCTTCCTTCTTTCCATCTCTCTACCTCACACACTCTTCCCATCAAAGGCCAATTCTCCAGACCCAGTAGCTCCTTTTTATTTACTCCGTCCCCCCTCCCTCACAGTTATTTCTTTGTTTGCTGCTTCAGACTTCAGACTTCCTGGTCACGTGTTCCTCTTCTTCTTGTTACTTCTCCAACGGCCCCGAAGAGACCATAAATCTTGGATGTCATGATTTCACCTTTTCTTCTCCCAGTCTTCATCCGTTCACTTGTTCCTTCTTCTCTGCATGCTGGTGTCATTAGCCCAACGTTGCCCCTCCTTCGTTCCATCCTGGCCTCGGGGAGGAATCAGTAACTCTAATTTCTACTGCTCGTTTTAGCCATCTTATCGATTTTACAAGTACATGGTCTGTTTATTAGCTCATGCACCTGGACTAATAAGACACAATCCTTGCCTCCTCCACTTCTCTGGAGGTCAAAAAGGTTACCACAGAACCGTGAGACCGAAACAGCTCGGTGAAGGCAACTAGCAATTTACGACTTCAGGGGTGATAAGAGACAAGGCTGTAGGGACACACACACACACGGATACACCTTGGGAAGCCTAGAATTGATTTCACATAATGAGAGACATAATCCAGACTTAATTCCATGCATTAACAAGTCTGATTATACTCCATACAACAGTGTCTCAGTACCTACTGGAATTTCAACAGACAACCATCTCTAGATTTCACAGAGAATACAACAGCGGCTCCAATAACCACTGGTTCCTACCGAGGTCCGCTAAGGAGCAAAACCAAGGTTTTAAAGGGCCAGTGTGTAGTTTCTCTGGTGATAGGGGGCAGTAGATACCTAAATCACCGCAAGCAAGCATTATTTTTGTGTTCAAGTAAGACATTACCAACGGATGACCATTAGGGTCAAAATCCTTGGGAGTGCAACCTCCAGCATAACAACAAGAACATCAGATTCCCTTCCATCACTTGCAATGAGTGAAGAGGTAAATGTGTAAAAGAACAATGTTTATTAATGCTGAAAGTTTTGTAATCGCTTGTTACAAATCAGCAAATGCATTCTGTCCTCACAGGCTTCCATAGAAGGAAACATGGCATCCAATATGGCGTCACCCAGAGACTTAGACCAGCTCCTGTGTATTTTAGAACAGATTTTTATGGTTATATGTTATGAAACTGCCAATATTTTTCAAAAACAGGGAATCTTTTAATTCTTTTACAACATTTCAATGGATATTTCCAGAGATTAATGGTAAAAACTACACATTGTCATTTTAAGAGAAGTACAACACTGAACCTTTTTACGTCCCTAAATCTGACGAGAATTATCAATATATTATTACTGATTCCTGTTTGTTTATTCTCAAATATTAAACACACTTATTCTAAGAAGTACTCCTCTATTAACCTCGCTCTACAAACAAACGGCAAAACACCTGAACTGTGACCGCAACACCCAAACTATTTAAGTCAGAACGTGAGAGGCTGTTAATTAAAATTCCGTCTCACAAGAGTAACTCAAATTTCCGGGTGGAAGAAGGCTTCAAATCAAATCAAAGTCATCACAAGTTAAAAAGAATTTCTGTGGGAAGTCCTCAGACACGTGCCGATGCACTAGCCCACACACACACACACACACACACACGCACACAAACACACACACGCACGCACGCAATACAACACCCGCATTCACACAAAAACTCAAGTTCACAGATTGACTGCGCTCAGCAAGAAGTGCTTCACGGATGACAGTTTTCCTTTCTTTTTCCGCCTGACAGACTTATCAACCGAGCTCAGGTGGCGCCCCATCTGCTTGCGCACATTTAAAATCCACACACAACTGCTTACTGCTTACACAAGAAGACACATGCTCAAGGAATAAACTCAATCAAACGTCTGCCCTTCAAATTCCATTTCTGATGTCCCGAGCTCCTTGCCCCCCCCCCCCCCCCCCCCCACATCCTCCTTGCTGATCACACTGTGACCTCTCCTCCTGTTCGCCCATGTCCTTTCTCTTTCATATCCTCAGCCGGCCAGCGACGCTACCCAATAACCTCAAACTCTCCTTCCAGTCGTGATTTTGTCTTTTTTCTTTTCCCCCACCACACCTACCGATCCCAAAGACGAGGCTCCCTGCAGGTTAGTGCCCACTCCATCCTGAGCAGCAGATGGTTGAGCAGCTCATGCACGCAGACGCAACAGCCAGCGTATACATGCTCAACAAAAATGAACACTCGGCGCATGTGGAATTTACATCAGGGCACATTTAACTTTAGAAAAACCAACATTAAACGAAGCTAAACGAGTCCATGGTGATAAAGGCGCTGGCTCCAGATAAGTTTGAACACTAATCAGGAACAACATAAGTATATACAGCATCTTATTCAATAAGCCTCTGGAGTAAAAAAAAAAATAAATCATGAATCTATTCATCCCTGCAGCATTTATGCATTTATACATTTCTGTAGTACAGCTGCTGTGAATCAGCATACACTTCAGCCTGCATAATGAGGATGCAGACCATGGAAGATATGCACATAGAAAACACAATAAAACAGGTTCCTATAGGAAATGCTTCACTGAGAGGAAACTCCAGGATGGAGAGCGAGAAACGCGATGATGGCGATGTCCACAGACCTCTCCTCTCCAGGGGCTTTATCACGCCACGTGCAACTGTGTTAAACGCAATTAAAGGAAAAGAAAAACCGTTTGTTTACTGGTAAATAACTGGACGGGCTGGTAGACCAACCTCTCCATAAAATGCCATTTGTTAGGCAATTATCCCGGTTCTGCCAAGCAGAAAATACCTCTTGCTGAATGGTGAGGTGTGCCCGTGCAAAACTCATAATACCGTGCAGACACTATAATTAGCAGCTCTTTACAGGGAGAAGAACGAGGTCCTGCACGACCCTGTGGGGGGAAATAATATAAAAAAATAATCTAACAGGCCAAAAGCAATTTGCTGCTGCTGCTCAAATTTCATGCATTATTCTGTGATTTTAACGTTGTAAACAAACAGACTTCAAACGGTCTGGACATGGCTGGCGGTCGAAGAGCGGGTGATGGAGTTGTCAGGCAAAAAAAAAAAAAAAAAAAAAGAAGAGGAAGGGAAAGACGGGGTGAAGCATCTAGGAAAACCTTTGAATTGTTTGGATAATTGGCTCCTAAGTGTTAGTTTTGGGTGTAAAAGTCATTTGATTGCAGGAAGTAAAAGACGTCCCACAAATGTTGCCGTGTGGAAAACTTTATGGAGTTCCACATCGTTTCTTTCCAGTTGCGAGTTGAAATCAATCAAATCAGACAAGCCTGAGTCTCCTGGTGGAGATGCTGACCTCTCTGCCACCTTGATGCTGTAAAACATGAATACTGGATGTGTGTGGGAGCAGAGATGCCAACAATATTTAATAAATCAGGTTTATGTGAGGTCCATCATGTGTACTGCAACAAGGCCGGGGCCAAAGACCACTTAAAGCTGTTTTACTTGCGTACCTGCAGAAAGCCGCGGCCGGGTCCTGGGCGTCTGCATCTCTTGCCGCGCATGAGGCAGCATGTGGTACCGCTTGGCCTCGTTGACCAGATCGCGACACGCCTCCGAGGATTTGATCAGCTCCTCATTGTCCACCACATTGAGCAGGTAGGACGGATGGATGAAGGGAAGACGGACCACCGCTAAGAGCTCCGACAAATTCTGAAGAAATGAGGACAAGAGAAGCAAACGGATTTGAGGGAAGCGTTGTGGCGGCTGATCAAAGGAAATATCACCAGAACCATCTTTATTTAAATGTTTATTTTTCAGAATATTCCAGAAAATATGGGAACAGATGCTATCATGTTTAATAAACTCTGGTCTATTAGCGTGGGGAAGCTTGGCAGCAGCGAGGCCATTACTTTAGTCACAGTCTGTGTCAGATCCTCAAAGCTCCAGTTCATTACCCAACATGCTTCACTTTTGCATTTCCTCACTTGTGCAGGACAAGCAGTTCAAAACAGGGATGGGAAAGAGACAAAATGAAATTCAGGCATGCATTTCCCCCAATTTACCATCAGATACATATTCACAAAAAAAAAAGGTTTGCTTCGACGAACATCACTAAAAGAGATTCACGCTGTTAAAGAGAAGCTATGGCGACATCTGGAGAAGTTTTTAGTTCAATCTGTGCTCAGTTTCACTTTCATATGGATTTAGTTTCGCAGCGCGAGCTGTAACGTGGCAGCAGGGGGGGGGGGGTTTCGTACTTCCACCTCCTGTTTCGGAGCTTTTACCCCTCCTGCTTCTGAATTAAATCTTTCATCAGTCACAACGTTTCTGTGGCTAAATCAAGACCCTGTTGCCACTAATCATGACTCATTCAAGACAAAACACTGCAGTGCCATCAGCACGATTTTTTGGAGGAATTTGGAAGAAAAACGAAAACCAGAAAACATTCGTTTAAAAATAACAGTTGGAACCAAAATATTTAAAAGCAAGAAGAAATAAAACGTCTTATTTGCATTTTCATGTACTTTTGCCCTCTTTTGAGCTGTGCATATATTTTTATGTACATAAAGGCATCGGGACTCAGTAGCAGGATATCACGTTACCAAGGCAACCTTGTTTATAGCTCCAGCAGCAGAGATACTCCTCAGCTTGTGCATGTGTGTGTGTGTGTGTGTGTCCCCACAGGAGTCTCATCCGTGTCGACAGTAAAAGCTGTAAACAAGCACGGACAAAGCGACAGAGAGCTGGGTGGGGACTGACCTCGGCGACCCTTCGTCTCAGGACGAAGTGACCGAGCCGCGCGGGGCGAGACACAAAACAACAGAGTCGGAGAAACATCAATCAGAGGAGGACACGTAATAAGCGGACACTGTGCCTAGGCAGCTCTCTCTCCCACCTGAGATTTATTTTTTTTACTCTGTGTTCTGTTTTGGGCTCGTCGGACGAAAAAAGAGAAGAAAAAAATGCAAAGGGCGGAGATGAGAAAACAAGGGCAGACAGGACAAAATAGATCAGATCACTGAGGATAAAAAAAGGTTTAAACAACATAAAGAGAAGAAGTGATGGTTTTATGAGTGACGTTTCCGGTCCACTAGCACGCTTAGAGGCAAACTGTCCGATTCTCAGTTAGTTGTGTCAAACAAACAACTCAATAGAAACGTACACTTTAGTCAATTCTGGAATAGAAAAAGCCAAATGATATAATGTTGAATCGAGCCCTGTAGAATATGATAAACCTCAGCAGGATAAACCTCTTTACAATTAAAGAGAACAGGTTTTTACCAGGGATGTGAATCTTAGAGCAACTCACGATTTGATTCGATTCCGATTCTTGGGGTGCCGATTCGATTCAGAATCGATTCTCGATTTAAATCGATTCACAATCAGAATTAACAAAGAGTGCCAGCTCCAGGATGAACTACTTTGTTGTACAAGTTAGTTAAAGCTATGGGACATTTTTATTTGACTTTAAACTGGTCATGCTCCAAAAATGCAAATTTACAATGTAAATAAAGTGATTCTAAAACTGTAAACAGAAGCAATCTTTTGACCAAAAGGCAACATTTATTTTTGCTTACCTTGTAAAATATAACAAGTCTGTAGTTACCTAACAGTAGCTTTGAAAGTAATACTGTCAAATACTTTTCAAGTATGTGTAGAAACAAGTTACATGAGTAATCTTGAGTACCCATTTACCAACTTAGAAAATAAATATGAGAATATCTTAAATTTCTGAGTATGGGAAAAATTACATTTAAGTGCCCTCTTATCAGCAGATTCAAACATAAATCATCTCAGTTTATGGGACCACAAAAGTAAACGGAGTACTGACTCTCCTAACAAAGATCAAAAATCAAACCCATAACATGCCAAATATTTCAGTTCTTGGAATCGATTCTGAATCTTTATAAATGAGAATCCCGATTCAGACTTGAATCGATTTTTTTAGCACATCTAGTTTTTACCGTCAAGCTGCTCTTCATCTTAAAAAAAATGGTACAATCTGAGAACTAATAAGATATATTTTGTTAGTCTGAGCGTGCATTCATCAGCTGCAGATACAAAGTAGGTCCCCTGGTGGCTATTCTGACCCGGAGAGCAAAATTAAAGCCGTATATGGGGCAGTTTCAGCCAGGTGGTGCTTTAATACTTGTGCCACTGTGTGAATCTAGAGATCTCACTTTTAGTGTTTTAATATCTCCGATGCTGTGCTTGTTTTACATTTTGGGATTGGTCTTCCAGTACCAGGACATTCCCTGGAGCTGAGGTGTTTAGCAAGACCAAGTCTGCCAAAGCAGGAGTTTTGTTAATCTGCTGTTTGGATCGCTGAGATACGACGAATCCTTAAGAAACAGAGTCCATGATTCTACAGAGAGAGGAGAACAAGCAGAAAATATTCATGAAGATTGTTTGTTCAAGGTCAGTCATCAGAACGCTCAGAGAAACATAAAAAGGAGAGAGAGTTTTGTCTCTTGGTCTGAGTTGGGGTGTCAAATGTGCCAGTGAAATAGAAAAATGGGCTGAAGAAGTATGGCTGCTTTGAAAGAGCTGCCAGAATATAGGCATCTATTTTTAACAGAACCTTGCAAGAATGCAAGTTTACAAAAGTGCATTTGAACTTACTTAAAACATTCCTGAAAGAGAGGCTAAATTGAAAACGTAAAGCACGGCAGTGGAGGCATGATGATTTGAGCTTATTATTGAATCAAAGACAAACTCCTCTGTAGACCAAAGTGTTCCAGAGTAAAACGTTTGGCTATCTGTGTGATAGTCAAAGGTTGACCTAGAGCTGCTCAATTAATCGAATTTTAATCACGATTACAATCTGAGTTTTGAACGATTATAAAAAACAAAACAAGCCGATTATTAGCTCCTCCCGCTTGCGCTGCCCTGAGTTGCAAATGAAGCGCTCCTCCCACAGTGTTGCCAACTTCGTGACTTTGACGCTGTTTCTAGCAGCTTTTCAGACCCCCTTCTTGACTTTTTCACTTAAAAGTACCTAGCAAACACCTCAGAAACATCTCTGGTAACCCTTAGCTACTTTCTGGATAACTGTCGTCGACATTTCCTGCAGGTTAGCTAAACACTCCGCCTGCTCTCCGGACCGTTCTTCAGGACATTAGGAAAGGGAATGATGTAGTGATGTGTCAGTCGCTAAAGAAACGGCTCTCGGAGCCGGCTCCCTGTTGGAGTAACCAGAGTGAGTGACACACACTCCGTACCTGCGGATTCCTGAGCCACTAAAAACGGCTAAATGTGCGCGTGCGGCGCGCTAAACACACGTGCATCTTGCCCCTGATTGCTGAGACCGGGTTGGGGGGTGGGGAGTGCAGCTGTGGTTGGGACAATTATTACATTAACTGATGGACTTGTAAATAAATAGTTTATAAATAAGGTAGAAATAAGTTCCTCACGCTGATAAATAATAACTAATCTCTCTGAGGACATGGTGCTAGTGCACGCTCCTACAGCACATTGACACGACTCAATAAATGTTATGCAACATTTTGTGAACATCAATTTATTTGCATGTATTTGTTATAAATGCCACTGTATAATTCTTGCTGTCAGTATTTGCAAGATATTGGTATTTGGGTCTGTACTGGTTAGACTTAAATGAGTTAAACCAAGGTTTATAGCCCTTGGGTCATAGACTATGAGCTATAAGTATATTGGTCTTTTTATACTGGGAATCAGGAGTTCTTTTAGTGATCATCTTGTTTCTTATTTATTTTGTCCTGATTGTGCCCTGAGCAATTTTATGACTGAATAAAAACAAACAAAATCAACATAAATTGAAAAATCGTCCTAAATAATCATGATCTCAATTTCAGTCACCATAATCGTGATTATTATTTTTGCCATAATCGAGCAGCCCTAGGTTGACCCAAAGACAGGTCACTCAGCAGCATCGATTCAAGCAAGTCTAGACCATAAAAGCTAAAAAAGAACAGAGCTGAGGTTCAAAGGGCCAGTCAAAGTCCAAATCTGGTTAAATGCTTTGTGTGACCTTAAGAATCATCTCGAACTACCGTAAAGCTCCAAAGAAGTGCGGTTTAAAAAGCGGTTTGTTTAAACTCCTCCAGAATCATGTGACATAGTTATAAGATCATTTAGACCTCTCTCACCTGATTAAAGCTGGAGATTTTATTTTTTACACTTTAAATCTGTAAACAGGAGAGTCAAATGTAAAAACCACACACTCCCGGGTGTTAGTTACACACTATTCTGTTTTCTTTTAACAGGGAAAAACATGCAGAAAAAGCATCCCAGGAAACCATCTGCACACAAACGCCACATCTGTCGTGGCCTCTTTTCGCTTGCCAAATATCATTTGACAACAGTGGAACTGCCTCATAAAGCATCTGGTCTATGTAAAATGTTGGGACATTTAGTGGTGCCACACACAGGAAACCATCCACCCAACATCACACCCACACATGCATAAAAAGGAGATAAATGTGTGTAAACAGACATTGTTACGTCTTCTGGAGTAAAGCTGGATCAGCTGCGAGCTCCGTCTGAAAGCTGAAGTGACTGTAAATCGTTTTTTAGCAACTTATAAACTCTGAGGCTGATTAATAAATGCATCAACTTTTAATGACTTGTACCATGATGGTATTTAGGTGTGTGTGTGTGTGTGTGTGTGTGTGTGTGTGTGTGTGTGTGTGTGTGTGTGTGTGTGTGTGTGTGCTTTTCTCCACATAAAA